CGCCCTCCTCCCAGCTCGGCCCGGCGCTGGCGAGGCCCCGCGGTTTTCATACGGGGGTGGTCCGGCGGTTGGCTGTGTTGGAGTGGAGAGAGTCCTTGTTCTCCTTCTGGATACAGTTGTGAACCTGGAGGAAGCTGTTATCCCTGTCGGAGTTGTAGGTGGCGGTGGGCGTGGTGGCGGCCTTCAGGGGATCCCTGCTGAGCGTGTACATGGAGATCTCCGTGGATGGCAGGGTGTTGAAGCCCTTGATACCCACGGGGGAGGCGTCCCTGGAGTGTGAGGGCTCCGTGGAGCGCGAGCTTGAGCGGCTGCGGCGCTGGTAGCGGTAGCGGTAGCTGGGGATGCGGGTGATGGCAGAGGCCTGGAGGTAGTCCGTGGCGCGGGCCGTGGCCCGCAGCTGTTTGTGCCGGTCGATAAACATGTGCACCGCCAGCACCCCGACCATCTCGGCGATGATGAAGGACAGGGCCCCGAAGTAGAAGGACCAGCCGTATGAGTAACTATTCTTTTTGGAGTCACTCTTGGAGGGGTCTCCGGCATTGGCAGATATGTACACTATGATGCCAATGATGTTACTGAGACCTGCGGGGTGCAGGGTGGCGGGGTGGGGGGATCAGAGAGAAGGACGTTAGTTTCTCAGGAAGTCGGCCACTGGGCAGCCCTAAAGGTCGGGGACAGCTCTGTGGGCCTTCCCGGGTCCCGCGTTTTCATGAACAGGTGGGGCAGTGTAGAGGGACATCTGCCAGCTTCCCCTTAACATTTTCTTTCCATTCAGAGAGAGCCACAAGGGAAGCGTTAATGGAAACAGACATGGGCAGGGCGGGAGAAGGGAGGCATTTCACAAGGTGCTGAGTAACTGATATTGTTCACTGAGGCTTCACTACCTGCTTTCACTGCTTGGTGCTTCTCAAGCAGGGCACAGATGAGGAGACAAGCACAGAGAGGTTAAGGAACTTGCTTAAGGCTGCACAGGGCTTTGAAGCTGGTGTAGCAGCGGGTGAAGGTGGGCTCCTGGAGCCAGGCTGCCAGCGTTCAAAGCCTTGGCAAGTTAACCTTGGTTTGAGTTTCCAGATCTGTAGAATGGGAGTCAGGTTAAGCCTTACTCTTTAGGGTCACGGAGAAGGTTAAAAGGGTGAATACATGTGAGTACTCTTAGATGTTGGTGGTTCTTTTCTTTTTTTTTTTTTTAGATAGAGTCTTGCTCTGTCACCCAGGCTGGAGTGCAGTAGTGTGATCATAGCTCACTGCAAGTCTCAAACTCCTGGGATCAAGCGATCCTCCCACCTCAGCCTTTCTAGTAGCTGGGATTATGGATGTGCCACCAGGCCCAGCTGATTAAAAGAAAAAAATTTTTGTAGAGACACGGTCTTGAGGCCTCGCTATGTTGCCCAGGCTGGTCTCCAACTCCTGGCTCAAGCAATCCTCCTGTCTCAGCCTCCCAAAGTGCTGGGATTGCAAGCATGAGCCACTGCACCCGGCCTGATGTTGGTCATTCTTATTAAATGGCTCAGGCTACACCCAGGTTCTTTTTCTGGCATCTGAAGTGAGTATGACTCATCTGTCATGTAACTGGGCTCAGACATCTGGATGTGGGTGCCTGCCTGCTCCCACCTGGGTGGAACAGTGAGGGGAGAGTCCACCCTCGGTTTCCAAGGTGAAGCTGAGTATCCCATAGGGGTTGGAACAGCGAGGTACTTGGGTGCCCTCTCTCCAGCCTCCTCATGGGTTTACTTGCACCAGGAGGGAGAAGGGCAAGTGGCAATTGGCCAAGTACCCTGAGAGGAAGCGGGGATTTGGGCCTTTTTCCAAGTGGTGGGAAGAAGATGGGCCACTGGGCCAAGGGATGGGATATGGGGATGCTCCTGGAGGATTTGGTGGAGGCTCAGGCATTGCTATAGGACAGGAGCCCCCACCACAACCTTTCTCCCCTGCAACACGACCTAGTGCAAGTCCTGGAGATTCCTCTCCTGTCTCCCCATCTCTCTCTGTCAGGCCCTCGTGGCCCCTAAGCACCTAGACCCCAGCCTTCTTCCCAGTGGCAGGCCTGGACTCCAGCCCACTCAGATCAGTGGCTGTTACCTGCAGACACGAAGAAGATGCCGGCACTCAGGATGATGTTGTGTCGAGTTTTGTAGAACTCGCTGGCTGCAATGCAGAGGCCACCCATGAAAAGCAGAATCACACTCAGGATCGGGAAAATGCTTGAGGCCCTCACGGCCCCTGTGGAACACAGAGAGTCAGGGAGAAAGAGAACGGCATGGCTGTGAGACTGAGGCGCACAGAGGCAGGTGGGAGAGCAGCCCCGAGGCGCTGGGGTTTATGGACATAGCCTTAGAGGAGGGCTGCTTTGCAATCCCACGGAGAGAGAGACAGCAAGCAAGCCACTGCCCAGCTCACAGCCCTGTAGGAGCTCCCCAGTGCCTCCAGGGCCAAAGTCCAGCATGCCATCAGGCACACAGGGCCCTGTGTGACTTGGCCTCTGCCCTCTTCCAGCTCCCACGGCTCCCAGTCCTCATGTTCTCTCTTGTCCCACCACAGCAAACTTCCCATGATGTGTCATTTCATGCTGCTGACTTTTGAAATACAGAGCTTCCTACTGGAATGTCTTTCCTATTCTTCAGTCAGCAAACTCTTCTTCATCCTTCAAAACCCAGCTCTAAGTCCCCTCTTCTGTAAAGCCTTCCCTGACTTCCTTAGGCAAAATTACGAGCTCCCTCGTCTACGCGTTGGGGCCCTTGGGCACGTTGAGAGGCAGTGTGGTACAGTGGTTAGGTGGAACCACATGGCTTGGATTTGTGTCTGGCTGCAGCATTTATTAGCTGTGCAATAAAAAATGTATCTCACCTCTGTGTGCCTCAGTTTCCCCATCTGTTAAGCAGGGGTGGTAATAATGCCAAGCTCCTAAGATTGTTGTGAGGATTAAATGAGTTGATTCAGGCAATGCACTTAGATAGGTTTCTGGCGTCTATAATAAACATTCAACGCATGATATTATAATAAATATTGGTGTATACATATGCTTCCACCATGAACCATGGGTCATGAGGCAAGGACTGGGACTTTACAAAGAAAACATTTCTTCTCTTTATCCTCTCTGTCCAGCGACACAGTAGGCTGCCAATAGAAGCTCATTAAGTGAATAAACGTGGGGTTGTGGTCCAGAAGGAAGGAACAGGCATGTTGCAAAGAAAACAAAGTAAGAAGAGAAACCCTTCCAGATAAGGACTGACAAACAGGACCGCAGAAGAAAAGAATATGGTAATGAAAAGGGAGACACAGAAGGCGAGGGCCAGGGCTCCTATAGTTGGGGGTGGATGGGGGAAAAGGGGGGCAGGCAGCTAAGGGCAGAGGCCAGGGTTACATGTGTTTGTGGGGGGGGCAGCACCTGAATGAGGACCCAGAGGTGTTGGGGAGCCCTTCACAAAGTGTCTTTGCAAAGTAAAACATTTTTTTTTTCTATCCAAATTCAAATAGGCAGCTAGTGACCTCAGGACCCAGCTCTGTGACCTCAGGACCCAGCCATGGGCCAGGCAGGTGGCAGGGCCAGCTTGAGGCAGGGGTGAGGGAAAATATGTCTTTTTTATTATTATTATTTTTTGAGACAGAGTCTCCCCATCGCCCAGGCTGGAGTACAGTGGGGCGATCTCGGCTCACTGCAACCTCTGCCTCCTGGGTTCAAGTGATTCTCCTGCCTCAGCCTCCCAAGTAGCTGGGATTACAGGCGTGCACCACCATGCCTGGCTAATTTTTGTACTTTTAGTAGAGAAGGGGGTTCACTATGTTGGCCAGGCTGATCTCGAACTCCTGACCTCGTGATCTGCCCACCTTGGCCTACCAAAGTGTTGTGCCCGGCCAAAGATGTCTTCTTTAAATGTTGCTTAAGTGGCTTCTAAGGAAGTCGAGTCCTGATAAATTACAGGGCCCTCTGGCCAAGCCCAGGGATTGGTCAGGGAGGTTGGTTTTGGAGGGGAAGGTGCCAGGAGTGGAGCTTCCTCTTATCCCCATCCCTGTCCCCACCCCTTTGGGTGGCAGTGTGTTCAAGAAGGATCCATGAGAAGAGAATTTCTCTATATAGAACTGTAGGGATTTTTCTTTTTCTTTTTTAAAATTTATTTTTATTTTTATTTTTTGAGATGGAGTCTTGCTCTGTTGCCCAGGCTGGAGTGTAGTGGTGTGATCTTGGCTCACTGCATTCTCCACCTCCCGGGTTCAAGCGATTCTCCTGCCTCAGCCTCCTAAGTAGCTGGGATTACAGGTGTGCACCATCACACCCAGCTAGTTTTTGTATTTTTAGTAGAGACAGAGTTTCGCCATGTTGACCAGGCTGGTCTTGAACTCCTGAACTCAAGCGGTCTGCCCGCCTTGGCCTCCCAAAGTGCTGGGATTACAGGCGTTGAAAGGGGATTTTAGGCAGTTTGCTGAGATGTGTGTGATGTAAAAACCCTTCTTCTGTCCCAGTCATGGATCTGCAGCATAGTCTACACTGCTCACGAATGGGTGAGTGGGTTATCTGGGGGGACTTGAACAAGGGCAGAGCTCTTGGGGCAAAACCGAGCTGCGTATAGGGAAGCAGGGGTGGGAGGATGGGGGCCTGAGGCGGCTGGGCTACTCTGCAGCCTTAGCACCCTCCTTCTCTTGGGCGGGATGGGGTTTCTCCCTCCCCAGACCGAGGGAGGTGTTCTCTCCTTGCAAATCATTGCTAAGACAACACGCTGTGTCCTCAACCTGATCCCCCAGCCCAAACACACCCACATCCACACCCATGCATGCACAGACATGCATGACTAAAAAGCCACCTTAACTTGCATCTTTATAAGCAAGTGAGGGTGGTGAGAGCTCATTGAAAACCCAGGAGAAGAGAGAGAATATTTGTTAAGCATCCACTCTGGGTTGGGTCTTGAGCGGGTACCTAACATATATGATATAATTTCATCCTCATAACAGCCCGGCAGCGTGTGTTTTTTTTGGCCCCAATTTACAAACAAGAAAACTGAGTTTCAGAGAGAGAAACTCCCCTGCCACCAGCTAGTGAACCAGGATTCATATCCAGACCAGCTCAACTTTGGGAGCACCCTGTAGTCTCCCTATGTGACTTCCAAGGAGCCCAGAAAGGGTGGGCGCCACAGATCCTGGAGAACTGGGTTTGGGTCCTAGCTGTGCCACTCACTTGCTGTGTGGCTAAGGCAGGTGACGTGCCTCCTCTGTTTTTCCCCTGTGTAACATGGGGTATGGACCGTTAGATGGTTTCTTTTTGTTTGTTTGTTTTAGAGAGAGATTCTTGCTCTATACCCCAGGCGGAGTGCAGTGGCATGATCTTGGCTCAGTGCAACCTCCGTCTTCTGGGTTCAAGCAATTCTCCTGCCTCAGCCTCCCAAGCAGCTGGGATTATAGGCGCCTGCCACCATGCCTGGCTAATTCTTGTATTTTTAGTAGAGGTGGGTTTTCGCCATGTTGGCCAGGCTGGTCTTGAACTCTTAACCTCAGGTGATCCACTCGGCCTCCCAAAGTGCTGGGATTACAGGCCTGAGCCACCACTCTCGGCAGTTAGATAGTTTCTAATAGCTCTGCCCTTTCCATGTGGACATGGTCCTGGCCAGCCGCAAAGGGGAATGACAGAAGAAAGAAGGAAAGAAAGAGGCCGGTATGGTTTCCGAGGGGCAGCAGCAGCAGCAGCAGCTCAGAGGAACAGGCAGAAGAAAGGCTCTGGCCTTCCCCCTCCAAGAAAGTGGGCTCTTCCTACCCACGGGATGCCTGCAGGTGGCCGACCCAATTGTGTCCTCAGAGCAAATGGACTCACAGCAGCCCAGGGCTTGATTTTTCCAGTTGCGCCCCATCCGCTGTGGGAACCCGGATGCCCCAGCTCAGCCTTCCTGCCGGCAGGGGGAGGGAGGGTCGGCTGCGGAGGGAGCTGGGATGCATGCGTGTGTGCGCCAGAGGCCAGGCATGTGTGGACAAGATGGAGGGCGGCAGGAGAGGAGGGAGGGGTCTGCTGTGTTGCAGCCAGCAAAGAGCAATGTGGAGGAATCAGAACGGCTTCAGAAGCCACCAAGGCAGCGTACGACATGCTCTAAATAATGGCCACCAGCGGGGAATACAGACAGAAGCCTCTTCGGCACAGCAGAGCCAGCCCTGAGCTCTGGCCTCTCTTGGAAGAGGCCCCTTTGCCCAGAAAGAAGGCAACAGGCCGGGTGCGGTGGCTCACACCTGTAATCCCAGCACTTTGGGAAGCCGAGGTGGGTGGATCACCTGAATTCAGGAGTTCAAAACCAGCCTGGCTAACATGGTGAAACCCCGTCTCTACTGAAAAAATACAAAAATTAGCCGGGCATGGTGGCGCGTGCCTGTAGTCCCAGCTACTAGGGGGGCTGAGGCAGGAGGATCGCTTGAACTTAGGAGGCAGAGGTTGCAGTGAGCTGAGATCGTGCCACTGCACTCCAGCCTGGGCAACAGAGCAAGACTCCATCTCAAAAAAAAAAAAAAAAAAGACAACAGTGGGCAACTAACAAATAGCACCTAAGCACAAATAGCTTAGGCCATCAGACTTGGCAGGGCCCAGATCCAGGTGGGAAGGAAGCTGATTTAGGAGCAAGCAGGGACTCCTACATTGGAGAAGTTTCTTGAAGGAGGTATTTCTGGCTGGGTAGTGTCACAAATGGAATAGGGATTTTGGAGTTAGTCACACTTGACTTTGAATCCTGGCTTTGTCACTTATCAAAAGTGTGACCCTTGGGCAGGAGTCATTACTGCTCTGAGCCTCAGTTTCCCCATCCTGTGAAATGGGAATAGTAAAAATAATCTCTAGCTTATAGGAATGTTTTAAGGCTTTGCTGCTGCAAGTGCGGCCTGAGGCCCAGCAGCACTGGCATCTAGTTAGAAAGGCAGTCCTGCCAGGCATGGTGGCTCCTGCCTGTAATCCTAGTACTTTGGGAGGCTGAGGCGAGCGGATCACCTGCGGTCAGGAGTTCGAGACCAACCTGGCCAGCATGGCAAAGCCTTGCTTCTACTAAAAGTACAAAATTTAGCCAGGCATGATGGTGGGCACTTGTAATCCCAGCTACTTGGGAGGCTGAGGCAGGAGAATTGCTTGAACCCGGGAGGCGGAGGTTGCAGTAAACTGAGATTGTGCCACTGCACTGTAACCTGGGTGACAGAGCGAGGCTCCATCTCAGTAAAAAAGAAAAAAAGAAATGCCGCCCCTCAGCTCTTTCCCCCAATTGAGT